ATATATATATATATATATATATATATATATATATATATATATATATATATATATTATATAGATATATATATATATATATATATATATGACAGATTAAGAATTGCGAACTACAGATTAGAATTCGAACAAATAATTCCAATTTTGTGACTCATGTTTCCTAATTGATCATATTCCAATCATATTCTCAATTCACAATCCTTAATCTATATGTAGTCTGATCTCGATTTAATGTACCTGCAGATAAGTACAGAGCTCTAAGTATGATTAATAGTTCTATGGTGAAAGTTAAAGCAAATTTAAAACTTCACATGGAAGTTGGCGACCAACAATTCATCTCTCTTAATTCAGATGGCACATTTACATAAACAGACGTTTTATCCGTCGACTTTTCTTCTTTTCCTATGTACGTAAGATTTTGCGAAGATATCGATTTCTTTCGATTAAGTGGCTTGTTCGGTTCAACATCCGCAAAGAATTCATCTTCTTCATCAATTTTTGCAGTAACGATTTCTCTAGATTGACCTAATATACTGGCTAAAATCCAACTACCTTGATATTTCTCTTTGTCTGGTACGAACGCACCCGAGAAGTATCTGTTAGCGTGGATTTTTCTGCGTGCTTTCGGCGAACTATCTGGAGTTCCTGTTGGCGTTGCCAGCGGTGATGCTGGTAACGACTTGCTGACATTCTTCACAGAAGTCTCCATTTGTTGCTGACGTGAATCTGATGTGAATAATTTGGTGAATTTACCAGACATCATTTGATTGGCCACGTGAACAATCGATTTGCCACAAAGAGCTGGTTCACCGTGGAAACCGTCGTCTGTCCCTTGTGACTTGGGTTTTATATTTCCTGTTAATAGATTTTTCTGAGGTTTAATATCTCCAACTAAAACAATATTTAAAACGAGAATTTATTGTTGACTATATGATTTTTAAAAAATAAGTTTTATATTATATACCTGCACTATTTGTAGCTGGTATAAATGGATGACATGGCAAAGGATGTTTGCTAAAATCAACTTGTTTGGGCTCACTTAAATCAGATATAGATTTTTTATTAATTCTCTGATTTGTAGAGCCTGCGATATTTTTCTCACTCAGAATATCTTTCAATCCTTGTTGTGATGTATTAGAATTCTGCGACTTTTGATACCTTATATAAAAGAAACTGTCGTCATAAGTTGGGGGGCTTTGGAAAGTAGTATCATCAAAATCAAATCTAAAAAAATACAAATTAATCATATTAGCACAAAACAATATAAAAGATACATAAGTTATATCCAATGTATATCTAATGGATACATATGTAGATGCAAATATATAATTATAAAACTATAGAATAAATATATTAGTATGAAAAATATGAATTTATATGTAACAAAATATCAAATATTTCCATATCCTTCTCTTGTTCCACACATATATACATACACACACGCACATACATATATATATATATATATATACACATACACAAAGACACACACATACAATGCAATATGTTTTTATCCTACAATAAATCCATAGTATAAACATAAAATAGATTCTTTTGATATAAAATCACAATAAGATGAAAAGAATGATGAGTAAGAGCCTAGATAGTTAAAACTACTAGTTGTATAAAAATATTTGTAATCATGATATTAAGTATACAAAAACGCCTACTTATCCATTTTTCCTTTCATCCACTGTGGCAAAGAAATTCCACCACTGAGAGATCTATCTTCTTGTTGAGAACCCATCTTAGTAGAATTTTATAAATTCAATAGTGCAAACTTGAGACAGTTCTTTATGTTAATAATATATAAACGCGTAAAATATCATGCCAAAATTCAGTAGTATTTTGTTATATTAACATTAATTTTGCTTTGTTACTATTATATATATATATATATATATATATATATATATATATACACAATATATACACATATATATAATACGTATTGTATGTACAGTTGTATAATACAATGAATTAGTAACAAAACTGCAGCTCATAGAGTTTGGACCAAGTTACCATTCGATTCATCTGCAATTTGTAAATGCTTAGAATACGGGAAGAAAATCTACCACCAACATACAATATAGAGGTATGCAAAACTCAAGTCTTACTTTCTTATTAAGACACCTTTCATAGGTGTGCTTGATGTAAAATACTATAATGTATCCTAATTGATGATGTATTTAAAATTATCTTCATAATGATAATATTTCACCACTCGTTTTATACTAATTGTAAGGGATGAACACAATATTGATAATCAAAATGGCAGACAGCAGTTACGACGACGTTCCCAACGAAGAACAACCATTAACAAGTTAGAAATAACTTGAGAGAACAATCATGTCACAGTAGAGACAGAAGTCATAATAGAGACCTCTCGCGGAAACCCCGGAAATAATATTGATATTTTATAAAGGTCGTTCTACATTAGTTGCATTGGATACGCATAATAGCTCACGTTTTATGCGTGAAGTTTTATGTACAGAAAACTCGAGTAATCTACTAGATAGCGCAGATAACTAAATGAAATTTTCTGCTGCATAAAACTTCTTTTAGAGTTATTCTACAATTGCGTAAGCGTGGTCGTAAATGATTGTAAATGATTACGACAACCAATCAGAATAAAGTAATCAATGAATAAAACATTCTGATTAGTTGGCTTTATAATGGCTCCTACATACAGGACGCGGTAATGCTTGCCGCGAGGCGGAAGTCTACGCGACAGCCAATCAATATATTATTTTTCCGTAAGAGCTAGAAGGTTATTACGGAAAGCAGCATATTGATTGGCTGTCGCACGAACTTCCGCCGCGCGGCAAGCATTACCGCGTCCTGTGTGCAGGAGCTATAAAGATTATAAGTACTTGTTCGACCAATAAACGTAGGCTGAATAACCCAGAGTGGGTTAATCCAGAGCCAGTCGAACATACTATAAGGAACGATAAAGATAGAAGAACGCGGTAGCGTTAGTAGCGTGCTCCCCGAACGCAGCTATTATGAGAAGATCCCTATATCCTAAGAATAGGCAGGACATTCTTTGAAGATTTTGTGCTATCTAGGTAACTACCGGCCGCATGAAGTAAATTCCCAGTAAGCAAGAAATCATTAATACAACGTTGCTACAATGATATTGGCTTGGTTTACATCGTGCATTTGATACGCGTACTAAATAGTAACTTTCTATTAGATAATCTTAATATCGACAATGCATATCAACGGCGATGTATTCAATACGTAATCAATATAATATGTTTTGTTGATGAGTATTATATCATTATAGCTTAATATACCATTAGTATTATACCATTATAGCTTATAATGGTTATAGCCATTAGCATTATACTAATATACCATTAGTATTATATCATTAAGGTATCTTTACGTGGGAGCATCGAGCGTCGAACGTTAAAGCGTTAACGGTAGCCAATCAACGTATCAGGTTCTAGAAGTATACTTGTAGTTCTTGTGTATCAGGTTTTAGAAGTATACTTGTAGATCCATCGCATGATGCGCAAATACAGCGTTTTACTGCATTTGCGCATCATGCGATGGATCCATCGATGAATTAAAAAACTCGCCCCATTATGAACATATTTTGACCGCGATTTGGAAGTTTCAATAATGTTGAAATAGGGTTGCCATGATGTTTTAATCGGCAAAAATATTTTTAAGATGTTGCATTGATCTCAAATAAATGTTAAAGTAACATTTGAAAAATATATTTTGTGTAATGTTTTTAAAACGTTTAAACAACATTCAATAAAATCATATTACGAAATAACATGTGAAAAATATAAATGCAATATTATTAAAAAATGTCTAAACAATGCACATGAAGTCAACGTTTTTAAACGTTAATTTAATTCCTTGCTTAATGGGTTATGTCCGTATTCGCAAAGTAAAAATAAAATTTGATGCAATATTCGTTGCTGATTTATCTGTTCTTCCTCTTTAAGAGATAATAAAGATCAAATCGCGCTATTGATCACGTAATTTTACTGATAAAATAATGAACATGAATGCTGTTCTACTAAACAAAGAAAATACACAATTCGATAAAATCACGTGCAGTGAATTCGATCAGCTTGCGCAACATTCGATATTTTATCACGCGAATGGATTATTAAAATAATTATTATGTAAGGAAAAGCGTTTAACTCTTACCTACTTAAATCGTTGCTATTTAAATCGTTGTGAAGCACGAGAATAAAAATTACGAAATATTGAGCGTTGTGTTGCACAGTGTTTCTTCCAATAGACAGCTTCGAAAAATGAAGAGGACTCCAACGCGCGTAACACTAAATAGTCGACTGGTAAATTATAGGATTCACACCGCGTCCGATGTACGACGTACGACGTCCGATATTCAATAAAAGAATAGCTTTCTTTTTTAGAAGAGAATTGGAGAATTGAATTTTATATAATAACGTGTTCGATTGGCCTCGAGTTAATCGTTCCGAGAGTTAATCGATTAATGATGTCATAAGTCTCTACTAGCCAATCATAAAGCTTATAAATATTTGTTCGACCAATAAACGTAGGTTGAATAACCCAGAGTGGGTTAACTCAGAGCCAGTCGAATATGCTTTAGAAAGCTATTCTTCTATTGAATATCGTACGTCGGACATCAGACGCCGTGTGAACATCGACATATAGAATGGACTGCTAAATGAGGTAGTGAGGGTAGGAACAAATGTAGAGTGAGAGGCAGACAATAGTAGGACAGCTTCCATCTCTGTTTACTGAAGTCTGATTGGCTGCAGGAATTTCAGCAATACTGTATCTTGCGAAAGTCAGGCCCCAAGCTAGACGCGAGAATATTATTTCACGTTATATCTCTATTACGTATTACGTTGCTCGAAAATATCATGTAATACAAAAGATAAAATGGTACATTTTTATCAGTTAACCAATTAAATACTACTGCATATATAATATCGAGTTGTATTTCTTTCTCTACCTACCTATTTACATATGTATTCATACTTATTCTCATTTCAATACTAATGAAATGTTATTATGTATAAAACAGTAATATTTTTTAAATATTAAAAATGTTACACTAGACTAAAATCACAATTCTTTGAAACATTATTATAAATTATTAATATGATTAAGGTACTGTTACGATGCGCTACGCTTCTATTTGGGAAAGAGACGGAAGGTCCTACTATTGTCTGCCTCTCACTCAATGGCTGCGTTCCGCAGAGCGCATCATGTGCATGATACGCTGCGTTAGAGTGAAAGAGATACGAAAGTGAGATAAAAAGAGAGGGAGAGCACTTAGGTGATGTTCTCGAACGCATAAAAGCGCATAGGCTGCCTCAATAGCAATATCCCTAGACACTTTCATGCACATGACGACACAAGTTCCAATTGGGTAACACGCATTTTCCCTAAAACTAGATGGAAAAATGTTGGTACCGACAAAAACCTCTAGGCAACACAATTTTAATTTCTGTGGATTAGTGACAGTTTGTTATTCGACATACACACGCATATGTCAAAACGACTCCGCAAAATTTATTGCAACTCTTGTTGCGACAGTCAATCAGAAGCGTCAGTAACACCATTGATGCTTCTGATTGGTTGTCGAAATAAGTGGTCTGTTCTTTTCAATTGCACTACTGAACTGGTGCAATAAGTTAAAATGAGACAAATATATGTTTTCTCATTCTAACTTATTGTACTAGTTCAGCAGTCAACTGAAAAGAACAGACCAATTAACTGCGTCCGCTTGCAATCGGTTTGCTAAGCCGATAACTAATATAGAACGACCTTAATACTAATTGAAAATGAAATATAATAAATTTTAAATTAGATAAATTACCTTCTTCCTACCTAATATGTTTTAACGTTCACGACGCGCTTATGCAATTGTAAAATAATTAGAAAGTTACTATTTAGTACGCGTATCAAGTACACGATGTAAACCAAGCCAATCTTAATATCGACAATATATATAAATAACGGTATATTAAGCTAATATAATACTCATCAACAAAATGTTGTATATTGTTTATTGTATTGATTGAATGCGTCGCTGTTGATATGCATTGTCGATATTAAAATTATCTAATAGAAAGTTATAATTTAGGCCAAGTTCCACAGCATCCGTTTAATTTTAACTGCCGGTCATTTTAAGTCCCAATAGTGATTGGTTAATTCTGATTAACTCTTCTTAATGTCAAATGCAATTGGTCAAGGCCAATGGAATAACCAGTCAGTTTAGTTAACTGGAGGTTGTGGAACTGGGCCTTAAGGGACGTCTACATTGGAAGTAAGCAGTAAGAAGTAGGAAGTAAGAATAAAAAATTGACTAATCATAATTGATTATTCTTCTCACATTTGATTGGCTGCATTCAGCAGACTCAACAGTTGCACAACAGTTGAGTAATTTGTCAATGTAATTGGTCTAGATTTAGGGATCTAATAGCAAGAACCAATAATCGTTGATTGCTCACTGAGCGCTTTTTCTACTGAATGCGCCCATTGTAGTTGGTCAATTTCTTACTCTTACTTCCTACTTCTTGCTATTTACTTCCAATGTAGACGTCCCTTTAGTATGCGTATCAAGTGCACGATGTGAACCAAGCCTATGCCTCTTGACCAGTCAGAAAGAAGCTGTTAGCTACTACCGCTTTTCTCATTGGTTAAAAGACATAATCGTAGCCGCAGCCGCAGTCACGAGTTAAGCGTCTTCTACAATGGCAGCAGGAGTAGTAGTAAGAAATAAACAGTAAGCAAATTGACCAATTCCATTCTCACGTTTCAAAAATAATCGATTGTGATTGGTCTATTTACTTACTGCTTATTTCTTACTACTACTCCTACTGCCATTGTAGAAGACGCTTTACAAGTGTGATACGGCTCGATCTACAATAGCTGTAGTAAGCTTTAAGCAATAAGAAATTAACCAATCACAATTAATTATTCCTCTATAATTCGACTGTGATTAGTCAATTTCTTAAGGCTTAAAGCTACACCTATTGTAGATTGGGATTAAAAAATTGACCGATCACAGTCGATTATTCTTCTATAAAGTTCTACATTGGGTGTGTTCAGTGGAAAAAGCGCTCAATGAGCAATCAACGATTATTGATTCTTATAGCTCCTGCACACAGAACGCGGTAATGTTTGCCGTGCGGCGGAAGTCCGCGCGACAGCCAATCAATATGTTATTTTTCCGTAAGAGCTAAAAGGTTATTACGGAAAGCAGTATATTGATTGGCTGTCGCGCGACCTTCCGCCGCGCGGCAAACATTACTGCGTCCTGTGTGCAAGAGCCATTACTGTTAGATCCTTAAATCTAAACCAATTATATTAACGAATTGCTCAACTGTTGAGTTCGCTGAATGCACCCATTAGTTGCAAGTCGATCGCGAGCAGACGTAATTTTTGTTGCGACAGCCAATCAGAAGCATCAATGGTGCTATTAACGCTTCTGATTGGCTGTCGCAACAAGAGTTACAATATACTTGCCACTAATGTAAAACGACCTTAATTCGACTATGATTGGTTAATTTTTTACGATTCCGGTATAAGTTAACGGATTACGACCTTCATAAACCAGCCTTAAGAATAATTATGATTGGTTTATATGATGCTTCGAAATGACGTTTGACGTTTTCAGCGTCAAATAAATATCACCTTTTAACTCATGTTTATCATGCTTTTTTTTAAAGAATAACGATAAATATATGCGTCGTTATAAATAAATCCAGATGTATAAAGAAATAAGAAGCTATTCTATATTATTCCATAAAATCACAATCATATCGAGAATATAATTAATTTTAATATTAATTTCAAAATAGAATTCTTAGTTATTCGCTTGCGAACACTTAAATTTCCTTTTCGTTCTTTTTATTTGCACTTACAGTACCTTGTCAACATCTTCTTTTCAAGTTTAACGTTAAACATTCTGATACGAAAATAACGTACTTCTCGAAATGACAGAACAATTATTTTGAATCACTTCAACGGATATCAGCCATACGAAATATTTGTCATGATTTTCTTTTCAAAAAGCCAAGGAATACCAACTTCACTTTGAAGTGGAAGGGGTAGATGCCTTTGACGAACAAGCGATACGGCGTGCGTATCGGGATTGGATAATTTGTTTGCCACGGCCCATCGCCATCTGTCATTGGCCGCTTTCGCGAGACGCCTCGTAACGTCCCGCCAGCTGTTGAGGCTACGTTTGTTTGAATTAAACGGCAACCGAAGCTTGTGTGCTGTATGCCGTGCGCGTCCGCCGTATTCTCGTTGCCATGCGTTAAAGCCAGTTCCAAGACGTTCGGGTTTTCTAAGGATTCGTGGCGGCGGGAAACGGCAGCGGGACGTGTTAGCGCATTTGCCAGATCCATTGTTTTTGGTCTTTTTCGGTGTCATCCTGGTGGCGGGAGAGGCTAAGTAATCTCATCTACGTTAATATTTATCACGTACGTACTACGCATATACTTAACCGTAACGAGCGAGAAAACTACTTCGTCGAGGAACAAAAGGATTTCGTGAAAACCGAGCAGAAATATGGCCACGTTCAGGGTACACGAAGACCAGGAAAATCGCATTGCCGCCGATCTGCGAGCTCGCGGCAAGAATAGTCAATGCGTGGTCATGGTCAATAACACCATGGCACAAACCCAAGCACCATATCAGAACAAACGTGCCGTCCTGGGCGTCCTGCACAATAATTGTGTAGGAAATATATCTAAACCGGTACATATATTTACCAATTATTAAGTATAATCTATTTGTTTTTCCATGGCATCTTCCTTTATATTATGCGTCTTGTTTCCTTGAAGTAATGACTGATGACACAAGCATGTAGTTGCAAGTTGTTGAACCTTTTTATTGTTAAAAAAGTTTGTCCTCTTCTTGTCTCAGATAAATTTTCCAAGAAGAATCCATGTAGGTGGATACAAGCTTTGACTGTGTCAGAATTAAATTCTCTTGCATGTTTTTATATAATTTTGTTATCTGTAATATATATGGATGCTGTATTACATGACTTAAAGTTGGATATTGACATCTTTATGTTGCAATATATTAGAACTTAATGATAAATCTATAGGAAAGTTAAGGCTGTTTTTACTATTGATTTGTTCTTTAGCAGGAGGTTTGTAAGGATGACAAGTGTGCCAAGATGAAATCAGTCATATCAACGCAGTATGAAATTTTTAAAATTTATGAAGACAAAAAAGAAGAGCCAGTTTTTAAGATTTATGAGGACAAATTGGAAGAAGAAACTTCCGTTGTACTTAGGGATTCAAAGGAAAAGAAAGAAATGAAAACCAAGCAAGAAATAGGGATAAAAATAGATAGAGAAGTAACAACTGTGGAAGAGAACGTCAGTGTTCCATGTAATCGGGCAGCGTTTCATGATATCATGGATATCAATCAAAAGAAGAAACAAGATGACAAACTTTATTTATCACAGAGTCCTATGTCATTGGAGAAATTTACATGCAGTATTTCTCCCAAAATGGAACAACATTTAAGTCGAAGAGATTCTAGAGGAAGTGATATCATCGACACAGAAGAATATAGACCTGATATATACAATTACTTACGTGAAATAGAGGTAGATTTATTTATGTACTATATTAATTTATATTCTAAGTAAATTGGAGTAATGGCAATTGAAAGTATTAATACCATAATTTAAATTGCACTTTATTCTAAGAAATATATAAACTCTCATTATGTATTTTGTTTCAGAGTATACATAGACCCAAGCCTGGTTACATGAGAAAACAACCCGATATTACGTACGCAATGAGATCTATTCTAGTAGAATGGCTTGTGGAAGTGGTGGAAGAATATCGGTTACAAAATGAAACATTGTACTTGGCTGTTTCATACATAGATCGTTTCCTATCATATATGAGTGTCGTGAGAGCAAAGTTACAACTTGTTGGAGCTGCTGCAATGTTTATCGCAGCGTAAGTTTATTTTTAACGAATTGTCTTATATACGATTACATACGATTTAATTGTTTAAAGAAGTATATAATATTTAAGGCTTCTGGTTCCATTACTGCGGAATATTGGATTGGTAACGTCAGAAGCTCGAAAACTTATGTCAAAAGTTTTTTGGTGCCATTCTCAAATAAAAAGATATCTGTACGAAAAAACACCTTTTTAATGTGTAAGAAAAACATTTCAAATCGGTTGAGCATACTTGTCAAATGCTTCAAAAACTATATTTTTTCCTTAGCGATCAATAAATAACCTTTAAATTAATGTAGCAAAATTATGAAGAAAAGAAGGTTAAAGAGAAAAGTTGCATGTCACACTAATTTCAAAGCTATTTATTGACTGTTAAGGGAAAAATAGTTTTCAAAGCATTTCACAAGCATTTGAGCATTTGTTCAATCTTGAAAATGGCACACAGAAAGTTTTTATTATCCGTTTTTTAGCTTCTGACATCATTAATCTAGTATCCCATAGCAGCGGAATCAGAAGTCTTAAAAAAATATTGAAAAATGTTGGCTACAATTGTAAATACTTTTCAATAGGAAATACGAGGAAATTTATGCTCCTGATGTAGGAGAATTTGTATATATAACGGATGATACATATACTAAGAAACAAGTGTTGCGTATGGAAAATCTGATACTAAGAGTGTTGGCTTTCGACGTGAGTGTGCCGACACCTCTTAGGTTCCTCATGGATTACTGTATCAGTAACAACTTACCAGACAAAATTAAGTTTTTGGCAATGGTGGGTATACCACGACAAATATGAATAATCTTTACTTTTAAATCAATTCTAATATGTAAAACAAGGAGATGGCCAACGAATTTTGATTCTCGAATATTTCCAACTATATTTTCCGATCAATGTTCGATTAGCCGTCTATCTCTTTTTCTGTATCTTTTGTAAGTTTGTTTTGTTTCATTGTATCAGTATTTATGCGAACTATCACTGCTTGAGGCGGACCCATACCTACAATACTTACCTAGCCACTTGGCGGCTTCTGCACTGGCGCTTGCACGGCATACGTTGCAAGAAGAAGTCTGGCCACATGAACTAGAGCTATCGACCGGATACGACCTGAAAACCCTTGGAGAATGTATCAACAACTTGAACAGAACATTTTGTAACGCTCCTAACATACAACAACAAGCGATACAGGAGAAATATAGAAATGACAAGTGAGAAAAATTACACAATAATGTAATAACAGAATAATAATCATATAATAAACATATAATTATCAGATAGTTATCAAAATATAGAAGATTTATATGTTAGTGATATAACGTATAAAATCACTCAAGAAATGGCTAATTAGTAAACGAATCTTTTCTTAGGTACGGGCATGTATCTCTGCTGTTGCCTCGTAGTACCGAGGTGGTATCATGCGAGGATGCAAGCGAAGAGGACGAGGAAGAGAATCCTTAGTAAAATCCGTCAAACAGGATGCAGGATTGAAACACCAAACAATTACAAAGTATTTAATTGGCAATCAACAAACTTACCGTGAAGGTCATGAAAAGTCATGAAAAGGGGGGAGTCGAGCAAGACTGACCGATTTAACTAAAACGAACTGAGGGCATATATGAATTGTTTCCATTAGTCTCTCTCTAAACTAGCTGGTATGCCATACAAGAGTGAATGTACGAGCTCTGAATTTAAATATCCCATATTCTTCTCTTCCCCCTCCCGTCCCCCTATGCTATACTATCTTACTTTTTTGGTCACACACGCATATCTTATGCGATGCCAAATTCTAACAATCTTCTAAAATTCCGTTATATCAACGAGTTTATCATTTGGGTGACATTATCATGAAATTGCATTTATATATATATTTTTTTTAAGGTATAAGAAAGAAGGATAAGGATACTGACTAAAACGCCAGAATAACTCAAGTGGCTAATTTTATTTTTCATTAAATTTTATTCATTCATAAATAAGAATTTCAGGCAAAGCCAAAAAAATTCTATTTATTATAATATTATTGTTTTACGGTTGGATATAGGCCACCAACCATAAACATTTTATTCAAGATGTTACCCCATAAAATTTTGTCGTTTCGACCATTTCTCTTCAATCTTTGTACAGTTATTTATTTACGACATTCTCGATACCATGTTTAGCATAAAATATTTAGTTTGCTTTATTGGAGATATTATGTTCCTATATATCCCCTGTACTGCATTGTACAAGAACATTTATAGACTACACATTGTGCCGTCATAGTTTCCTCAAGGTGCAAAATTGTTCAACGACGGTCATATTCTATGAGACATATCTACCATTCCACACCCATTCATGATGCATGAATATAATTTTACATTTACGGTAATTAATAATACATCTGCGACTATGGTCGTATCTGCACAGTATGATTGTTCGTATTTTTAATATGCAACGCGGAATACTTACATGTTCAAGTCGATATGCATGAAAGAAATATGTTCGTACAAATTGAAATATAGATATATAAAAAATATCACGAAATCATATACTGTTACATGATTGCATGCCTTAAGTTCTGCGTTAGCTATAAATTGCATTGTCTGTACCGCGGATAGTCTCTCCAATAACTACGAGGAAAAAAAAGAAAACAAAGACTCAAATTTCCCGAGGAACAGATTGACGTCGATAAAATGTAAATTGATTTTTCCGAGTACGCGCTCACGGAGCAAAAGAAGCTCGTCGAAGTCTCCTCACGTTAGGAGATTGAGAGTAATGTAAAAAGATAAAAAAAGAAGTTCAAAAAGTGGCCCTTTTTGAAATCTTTTTGATTTTTATGACGCCGACGTCTTTTTCTCAGTGAGATTAGAAACTCCTTGAATGTATTACGCGAATGTCTTTTATATTATATTTTCATATGTCTGACTTAGTGCGTATTGTACCACATTTTAGTATTATAACTAAGAGCCATGATATACGAGGACTACGACTCAATCACGCTGCTATCAATGGGCTACAAGAAATCATTTAAAATTTTTTCCTGTAGAGATTTATAGGAGATTCAAGTGCGCTACATTCGCGCTGCTGGTTACAGCGCGACTGAGAATCACTCGTATAACATGGCTCTAAAGCATCATTCGGAGCCGTTTCAACGTAACATTGCGAAATTGTTAATTGTTGCCAAACGTTTCCGAACGAATGCGCATTAATCGACGAAAGCATTAATATACAATTGTAAATATAAAAAAAAAAAGAAAAACTTAACTGATTCTCTCTATGAACGCTTCGGCGGGAAGATTTTCACAAAGGAATAAAGAAAGAAGATCACAAAACAGCGAGTTTCTTTTTTCCACTTTTGTATTAAAAATGCTTCAACAGTACCCAAAAATTTGTCCATAGAGCAACGTGCGTTTCGAAAAAGAATTCAAACAACCTCTGTCTGCGTATATAAACGTAACAATAGTATAAAATGAAGCAATTAAAAATGACAATAATCTGTGTGTATTCGAGAGCGGAGCAGATCTATTATACTTATGACATTAGATCTTAGCAGGTAATGAGGCGTATATTCTACTCATCGTCAACAGCGAGTAAGGGGGAAGTGTGGTACGCGTAATTTCTTTCATTTTTTGTTTTTTGTATCACCGGTATGTTGAAGAATCTAGGCTTGATCTGGAATACGAGATATGATATGATTAGATGGTTGATACAAACAGGGATTACATTGGAGCTGTAAGGTGCAGGATTATCTAGGCAGTTATCGGGATCGTGTTCGTTAATGTGTGTGTGTGTGTGTTGCTGTTTGCACGTATGCAATGTGTAAATGATGAATCCTTTCATTACATCACAACTTGTTAAATTGTTATTCTACTGTTGTTTACACTCATTGAAATCTTTGCCCTGTTTCCCACCTGAAGGCGCATTAGTAGGAGAGGACGCCTCTTCTTCGTCATCCTCGTCCTCGTCTTCATCATCATCATCATCATCATCGCCTTCTTCCTCCTCGTAATCCTCATCCTCATCTTCTAAACCTTCGCCTGAAATAAATTATGAGGAAATTATTTACACGCACTGTTACTCTGACATTTTGAAATTAAAATACTTTCGTTAGTCGATCTTATATATTAATTCTACAAAAATAAGTGAAAAGGAAAGGTGCATACGTGCATGCATGTGTAATATTATCCTTTCTATATTTATTTTTTACTTGTTAAATAAGAGTTTGTAATAAATTAAATAATTTGTAACATATATACATGGATATTACCTGTGTAATAGAGCACGGCTCTAGGAACTATACGTTCTCTAATGTAATGACCTATTTCGAAGTCGCTGGTCAATAAAGCTTGGGTTTCATCATCTAAATCAGCATCTGCATCATCTGGCACTGAAACGAGCGTTTATCAGAAATAAGCGAGATTGATGCAAAATAACGCGAAGAAGAAACATGTAAGGTTTGTATTTACCAACTGGTGGAGTGAAGAAATTAAAGAAAGAATCATTCCGGACAACTTTGGTCACGGTACGCATAGATCCTCGGGATTTATGTTTTTGATTCTTTTTGATAGTCTTTATCGTAACATTCTTGCCCTTTTTCCAATCAATCGTACAACCCTGGAAGAAACACTCACTTTTAGTTATGTTTTATCGCTTGAGAACTAATAGAGTTAAATAAGAAGTGTACCTTGCATTTATAGATCTCAGGTCCTTCGAAACTGAAAGGATCGTTTTGTTCAGGAGCACATTTCATGATGTACTCTTTAGTGAGTACTGTATTCGAAAAGTATTCATTGGGTGTGAAATAGAACTCGAGAATGAATCCCTAAGGAAGTGTTAATTTTAATTTAGATCTCTTTAAACGTTACCAAGTGCGATTGATTGTATTCATATCGTATTACGACTCACCATTGGACTTGATCTCAGAAAATTCACTTTAATATCAGTTAGATGTTTCAAGATTGGCTCGTCGTGTTCTTGCACCATCTCGGCTAATGTACCTACATTCTTAAATATTGTTAGCCAAAAATCTGGGATACCCTTAATATCGGCTTCGTTATCCGTTCTGCAGTCATTTAATAAAAATTCGTTAATTTGCATTGATTAATTATTAATACATCTTTAAATGGATCAAGATTCTGGCTTGCAAATAGAAAAAATTACAAATAAGCAACATATTATTTTTATTCCGAGAACGTACTCATCTTTCTTCTCTTGATTATCCTCGATCTTCGCCTTGGTTTTCAAGTCGTTGCTCAGACCTTCTTCGTCCTCATCGCTCTCCCAAGCACATTGTTCATCCGTTGGTTCGTACGCACCAGATATTATCTCACTTCGCTTTTCGTACAAAGGTGCACACATTTTATAGTACTCACATTCCATAGCATGAACTTCTTCATAGAATTTGGCTTCAATATTAGTAGTGACAAGCTGTAGTTGTTTCAGTGCTTTAATCCTGCGTTTAACGGGAGCAGGAAGAGACTGCATTTGCTAAAAATGTAATTGCCTTTGAGAAACTTATGTCCATACAATTGTAGTCAAATGAACCAATGCAGACACAACCAAACATATACTCCAATATATTGCTTGATATTTTATTACAAAAACCGATTTTTTATAATGATAATTAAAATATTTTGCTGCCATTGCTTTTCAATTTGAACTGGTTAATTGTTAAGGCAAAAATTACAAGTCAACAAATACTCTCCGCGAATTAATGGTAAAATAATGGATTAGATTTAAATCAACAAAATGGCTAGCTTTGATTGAAAAATTAAAAAGAAATTGAATGAAAAATAAAAAAAGGAAGAAAAAAAAGTAAAAAAAAATGACTAAACATCACTTATTGGCTGTGTAAAATATAAAATCGGAGTTAACAAGCATTAGGAAACATGCAATTAGAGAAAGACATTTACAATATCGTTGCATAATGTACGTAATATACGATGTGTATAGATGTGCGAGAGTGTAGTTCGTCGAATTTTTTGCAGGACACGGAAGAAGTAATACCTCTAAATCCAATCCTTGTGCAGGCAAATGTTGAAGAGCACCTAACATCGCACCATCAGTACTACGTAAAATTGCGGACGCCCTGATCGGACGTCCGGACGAATTCACCTTGAACCCCACGTCGTTGTTACTATCTTCACCTTCAACGGAATCCATATCGCTTGCATTGGCAGCGCGTTCCGGATCGGTTGTCATTTTACTACAAAGTCAAATATATCCTTGTGAAAACTCTACGCGGGACAATCTGGATAAAAGAGAGGCTCGAGGAATTTAGAGATATTCATTTAGAAGGTCGTCTTTCCCTTCGGAAGTCGTGAGAGTTCGTCTTACTGTGACCCTTTTCTCAACTAAGCAACAAAACAATTTTGTGGAATTTTACGTAGACTGAGAATTCTATGTATATATCGTATTGTACAATATGCAGTAGTTCCAATTCACTTAGTCCACACTAAAGCGGTGCTAAAACTCACAGAGAAATGTACATTGCTGGTTCTATGTAAAAACTAAAAACAGACAGCTGTAAAAGGAATCAAGCAGCTAGATTAGCAGGTGTGTATTCGACTTCATTTGCTCAATATAACTTGAATGGGAAGAACACAGCGATGTAAGTAGTTAAATCGTTATATACATACATACGTAATTTATAGTGAAAGAAAACTACCTTTTGCACTTCATTTTTAGCAAACAAATTATATATTTAATGATCGAGTATAACAGAAGCGAGTTCAAGGTTCAGCAAAAAAAGAAGAAAAATAAAACCTGCTATCTTAGAATATACGTGGAACACGGTATAACAGCTACACGAGATAAATCGCTCTGAATCGTAAGATTCTCGAGTTCTTCGGACGGATACGCGATGGAAATGCGCCAAGTATCGTGTCGCGACGTTATCCGCGGAACGTGCCGCGCTACGACATGATCAGAATCCGCGAAGACGAGCAAGGAGTGAAACTGCGAATGGAGCCGCACAATCTCGTTGCGGAATACGAGGAAAAAAAAAAGTAGCAGAATGACTTACAGGTTTGCTCTCGAGATATCTCTTGAGGCAGAATCGTACAAAGTGTTGGCGCGCGGGATTGACGTTTCGTAGCACGGCGCGCTCGCAAAAGGTTATTTCGGCCTCGCGAAAATAAAGGGAGAGCGCTGTTGGCGGCGAATTCGACGCAAAACCACGTTGGCGACAAAGCGCACGAAGAGCACGCGGGGGACAGTCGATGAGACGATCGTCCGAGGACGCCGTTCGCGGTATCGGCGCGAAGAATTCAGTCGAGAGGGCTTGATCGCGCGACATGAGAAAATGTATACATAGATGACCAGAAAATCCGCGGGGTAGAGGCGACGACGAAACGAGAAAGAAGAGCAGGACGGTGGCGGTGCGCGGATGCCAGCAATGTGCGCACGATGAGTAACAATGTAACACGTCGGTAAATGTGCATGCGTGCGAGTACGTGCGTGCGGACGAGTGGATGGCGAACAAGCGAGCGATGTGACAAGAAATCAAGTTCCTCGGCGATGACGAGAAGGGGTGACAATCCGCCACCGCGTGCTCATACGTACCTTTGTATCGCGTGGACGATTTGCAGGAGAACACCGAACCGGAGCGAACCAAAGCAGGGAATGAACAACGGATTATGAGAACCGGTACCAACGATGCCAGGTGGAGAAACTTTTCCCACCACTCGGCCGTCCCTATGTGCAGCTGTCCACGTGACTACCTCGGCAGACTCGTGCGCGAATGTGACGTAGAGGGTACCTTATGGGGTTCCCTCTGATGTCTTCTTGTCGTCGGTTATGTCCACAGCGCGCGCATATTAACGTTTTAGTTAGTCACGTCTAGTTGAACGCCAAAATAAAGAATTTCTATCGCGCTTGTTGCGCACGTTGACAGTCAGCGAAGATCTCGCGCGATCCTCCTTTGACGTTTTATGTTCCTTTTTTTGTACACAACTTTAAAGGTGCTTTTACATAGAAGCGTCGAGCGTCAAGCGTTGAGCATATGCGTAGTAATATAATAATAGTGAGTTGTTGCTGAAACGCAAAATTAATTTGATTGTATACTGAACTGTCAGTTGAATTTCGAGACAGTTATCAGCAATTCAGAAAAAATTGTAAGACATTACAAAATGTCTATTAATTATCGGCATTATTTTTAGTTATTACCCACACAGCAGGAATGTCCCAAATACACATAGGAATATCTTGAAAATATCACATATTCCAAATATATCTTTAGAATATCCCTTGATATATTTTGGACACTTCTGCTATGTGGGTTAAAATGCAATAGCATTATCAGTAACAAATATTACAAACAAAACGTGGAGTTAATTGGATTAATATCACTAATTGCAAATGCAATATGAGCAAAACAAAAAAAAAGGTTTTGTGTTACAAATATTCGCAGAAAGAAAGACATTACTCTAAAGGTGCCAATACATGGGAACGTTCCAGCGTCGAGCATTAAAGCGTTAACCAATGAACGTATCAAGTTCCAGAAGTATACTTGTAGTTCTTGCGAAAAGTGGCACATTGATTGGCTACCGCTTTAACACTCGACGTTCGATGCTCCCATGTAAAGGCATCTTAACAGTGTCAAGCGCTGAAATTTGAACGGTTGAGGTCCGGTTGCACCAACGTTATTTTGGTTTTAAGTGACACTTAAATATATGTCTATCTTTATTTATATAGAGAGAAAGATAAAGATAGATATATGTTTAAGTTTCGTTTAAAGCCAAAATAATGTTGGTGCAACCAGGCCTTAGATTTCTGCGCAAAGATGTGTACGGGTTTGACGCTCGAATGCTTCCATGTAATGGCACCTTAACCGTACCTTGTTTTCAATAACTCGCATACGCTACTGGAACAGTTCATCTGTCGCTTACGTTGCCGCGCATGCGCGAGAAATCCCTCCGGTCCTACGCGTAGCTGCTTCTGGTAACGGTTGACCATAGTAAAAAGTGCGACGTGAGAGCGCCAAGCTCGCTTTGAGGTTTGCCGTCTGTCGAATTTTAGTGACCTCTTGTGTCGTAGATACGCGCAACATAGACAGTCGGCCCACCAATGAGAAAGTTTGCGGCCTGTCGGAGTGTTGAATTTTTTTGGAGTCCAGTTTAAATTTATTATTCAGTGCGACATCTATAATTCCGAGCATTTGCACACCGTGACAGGGAACCAAAAATATCGAAGTTCTTGCTTTCGCGTACGCACGTCATGGTTATGTTCGTGATGAAATTGGGCTGACAGCTTTGACTTCTTTTTGCCAATTGCAGCGCCTATGTGCATCGTGTCGCCGTCGTCATCGTCGTGGTCGTCGTCGTCGTCGTCGTGTAATCACTTTCGGCGTGTGGAATTTCCCTTCTTTTCTCCAGTGGAATTATTTTAGAACGCAAATTCGGTCCGAGCGTTCCTTGAACCGTGAAATATGTGTCTACTCATACGTTCGATTCGATAATACCCGCCGCCGCCGCGAAATATGTCAACGGACACGACGAATCCGGAGGAGATAGCGCGCACAGAATACACCTACGATGGCTGTCTCGTCAACGAGCTCGACCGCATCGACCTGTCGCACTTGGAGTTCGATGACAACGACGATTGGTAAGTGTTACTTGTACGTTTTTTTTCTTTAGTCCGATTTTTCTAAAACAAATTATATTTTTGTTTTATATTAACTTCTTAGATTTCTTCATCTTTGTTAATGCAAATTTGTTGAAGGTTTATATGTCGTGTTTGGAATTAAGTATTCTTATGAGTAATAAGCTTTGACAAGTGTTATGAGTGCAAGCAAGTGTTCATTATTCATAGAAATAAAACATTAATTATTGTGTAGTTTGTTTGAAAAGTTTATATATATATATATTTAGTATAATTTCATTAAAAAATGTTACCTAAAAGGTAATTTTTATTATATTCCTTTAAGATATCTTATACTTTTTTTTTCTGTTAGCTTATTTATATATTTTGTTTTAGTTTCTTCTTTAAGTATAATTTAATTTACAGCAAAATGGTTAAACTGATGTTGACTGTTGTTTTTTTAGGTTGTACATGCCACCGCGATGTTCAACTGAATCAACAATTCAGGATTTATACACCTGGCTGAAAACAGAACCAGAATTAGGTGTTCGAAGTATAAAACATGATAATATTATATTTAACTGTTTGTCAAATATTCTCAATTTCATCTATACACTTGTATCTCAAAAACTATGTATTGCATTATTGATACTAAATTTAATTTGTGTTTAGGTAACAAAAAATGCATTGACACCAGAACATTTACAAGACCCAAAAAACGAACATCACGAATGAGTTTTGAATCCATTTTTGAAAATTTGCCACGTTGTGTTACAAATATATGGAAGCCACAAAATTTAGATGATACGCACACTGAAAATGTAAGTGTTTACCCATTCGTAAGATCATAGATACAAAAGTCACATTATAGTAATCTTTTGAGGTAAATTATATTTACTTACAAATTAAAATATTAAAAATTTCATTGCATTTTACAAATTAACACCTTATAATTCTGCTTGATAGATGGGGAAATTTTCATCTACATCGATAGAAAACAAGGAATCAGTACCGCTGATGCTCAAGCCATCTGTCAAAGCGACTGTAAATGTATTGTCTAATGAAAATTTGTCAAAATCAGGACAAGAGAGTATGGAGGTCTTCTTGAACATGTCGCAATCTAAAGGAATTGATTCATTTATAAACTTAGGTGAGCCTGAATTCAATGATCCTCTGATGAGTATGTCGCAGCCTTCTATTTTGTATACATCTATTATCGGCTCCGTGAACGAATCTACGTTCACCGAAGATAATGTAACACTAGTAACGCGTAAGGACACCAATGGTCAACAAGTCACTCATCGGCATAGCAATGTGCAAGAAAAATCAAACCCTAATGATCCTGATGCGACGTTTGTGATGCAAAGCGACAACAATCTAATTTCACCGAACGAAACGTATCGCGTAAATACTCTGAACGACACGTTCTGCAAGGACTCTGCTCCATTGGATATAGGCTTAAACGAAACCTATGATGCTGCAGCTTCTGACCAAGCGTCAGCGTTGCCATCGAATCTTTATAAAAAGAACACTGACGGGGCCACTATGTCTTCCATCTTCACAACCGAGCCTAACACTGATGGTAATTTCGCACAATTGCAAAATCAGGCAAGTAACAGTATTGATCCATTGAACGTTACATATCTATCGACAGCCAAATCCGCTGGTAGCCAAGATACAATGGTGTCGGTGAAGAGCGATGCGTATAAGAACACAGTGCACGCGAATAAGATGAAACTCGACGTAACTTGCAACGCTCCAAGCGACGAAACCGCAGTGCTTTTCGAGGCACAAGACGGGGAAGACGTCTTGGATGTGTCTTTCACGATGCCTATTTGCGGTCAATCTACGCCTATACATTCGAACGCGTTAAATCCCACGTCGAAACTCGCGGTGAAGCATTCGGAACAACAGCGACCAAGTCTATATTCCACGTTGAAAGCGCCTACGTCATTGCGGAAGGAGTTGTTGGCGGAGATTCGCCGAAGCGACGAGCGTAGGCTCGACGTCACGTACAACCATGTTATAGGCGATCAGCGTGGCTCGAGGGACACCAAGGAGGATGCTCACGTAGCCCACAACGAAAATGCTAAAATCGCAGCCAGCGTCTTTCCGTTGGAGAATCGATATCACACGTACAGAAAATCGACACTGACGACAACAGCAATAGCGAAGAATCAGTGTAGAGAACGTGATACAACTATAGCCGTGCCTCAGAGAGACTTGACAGCGGATCGTAAGTTTTACACCTTCACAAAGAAGAGTAACAACAACCCCGTCGAGAAGAACAATGGAGGTGTTGAGAACATCGTCGAAAATAATACAGAAGTGGCGCGTCTAAATATGGATAGCACGTTCTGCAAACCTTTGCCTAAAGCGCTGCCAAAGAGAAACGCCAGGATGTTTTCGAAGTTACCGCAGTTTTTGCAGAAGTCCAATCCGAATCTCGTCTCGAGCTCTCTGAGGTCCACCGTCAGTCTGTCTGGCAGCACGAGTTTATTCAACGCCGGATATATCAAGGGCTCGCAGCCTAATATCATGCAAAATGTGGAGAAGTCGAGTCTGGCAAGTAGTAAGTTGCACCCCTTCGGCAAGCTGAAGAGCGGCTCTGAACAACGACTCGTCGAAGTAAACGTGAAGAATAGCGAATTCTCGGCGAAGGTCGTGACCGGCTCGACGGAGAGTATAGAGAGCACGCAAAGTGCCCACAGCGCTCCCGACCTGGACGACAGGCTTAGCACGTGCTCCGACAGCAGTCACAATTCATGCAACAAAGGCACGATGAATATAGAACAGTTGCATCAGCTGGTACGAATGCAAGAAGAGAGTAAGCATTAAAGTCAGCTCGTTTCCTTGTCGAGGATCTCTCACGAGATGCATAATCCGATGTTGAACTCGCATTCTTTCAGGTTTGAAGCAGGATTCTGCGCCCAAGCCGCATAAACGTGTTCTAGAAAACACTTGGGTCGAAACGAAGATAAATTTACCATCACCGATTCTAAAGAATGGTATAGAACATGGCGAGATTGACACGCATTCGTTGCTGAGTGCAAATGTGAATATAAAATGCAGCTCTCCACTACTAAGTCCCACTGGGTCTAGTCATGTCTTAAACAACGACGGTAACTAAATAATTTTAGATAAATTTCAATATATATATATTCTTTTTTTATTCTTATATTTAACTTTACTCTCTTATATTTAATCTTTTTGGAGGAAAAGAAAGTGTTCAAGAATTAGTGCATAATTTATATTTTGATCAAAGTAATTGCCAATAAACGAGTAAAATGTACTTGTGTTGTTTAAGGGAATTCTGAAAGTAACACAGGAAAAGTAAAGGATGAAGTTGCGGTAGCTGGTAAGACACAGGTACGTTTTTATGTGATCTTATTTGAATATTAAAAAATTAAGCCTCTGATGTATTTCACAAATTAACAGCTGGCCAATTTTATTTCGATCATCATATCGTCTGTTAGATGCATGAGTTATGTGAATATTTGCTGCCAGACTTGTTGTTTGATTCCTATAAATGTGTTAACTTACAGGGTCCGAATCAAGTAGTGCCTAAAATTGAAAATAAGACTCGGTTAAGACAACCAACTAATTGGGGTACCGGTAGCAAACCATCTGCTGTGATAAGCGGAATTCCTAGACCCGCGTCGCGTATACCGGCTCTCAGATTCGTCAGACCGAATAATGCGAAAGCTAATCAAGCTGATCTGAGAAAGGGATACACGTGAGATTCCGTTTACTACAAATTTGTAGAAGCGAGAGAGACTTTTTACGCACGAATGTTTAGTTGAATCTTTACTAGTGCGGGGTGATTAGTAGCTGATTATTTTTAGTTCCATTATATAACAATGAAGCTTCTTCTCAAAACCAATAAAAATTCAGTATTATTGAGCTTCCAAGTCGATAAAACTATAAAACGCGACTAGAAAAGGGGGATATTACTATTAATATACAATATTTGCATGTGTTTGCTTGTTTGTATTCCATTTGTAAGAAAATTAATAATGTCGTGAGATATTGCGTGTCACGTTATTACTTTCATATAATGCGTAGATGCATTCTTTTTTTACGATTCGAAGCGTAATCTTCTTGCTGATACGCAATGGGAAAATGTCGAGCCTTGTATTATTTACACAAACGTATAAAATAAACTTTGGAAGTTTGTTAAGCGTGAAGTTAAAAAAAAAAAGAAAAGAAACAAAAGATATGCTAATCTGTTCCATGAATTAAATTATTTAAGTTATAAATTGTCGTTGCCAAAAAACCACCAAGATGTACGCGGTATTGATGTTGTTTGTAATTTCTATGAGTTGTAGAAAATTAATATTTCTATTCGGTACTTTGCACGAGAAACCGAAGAAGAGACGTCTCTCGCACGATAGTTAGTACAAACAACAGCAATAAATTTAAAATATTTGTATATAAAAACAATATATAGCGTTAAAAAATTATAGCGATTATAGAAGTTGTTTTTAATGTTTTCTGTTAGAGTACCGAGTGATAAATCGGCCGCACGTTAAAGAACGCATATACTGAAAGACTGCAAATGTAAACCGACACAATCTTTACGCGCGAAGTTCTAACTCCCGTTTCCGTCCTATTTGGCAGTGTAAACTCTCTTCTCGATGGACCCGCTTGTTACGACGTTTCGCCAAATCGCCTGGGACATACCATCGCGTTTACACGTTCACAAATGAATTAAAAAAATTTGATATGTAGCGTAAAGGAATTGTTCGACCGGCGTCCTGCATATCATTTGTTCTGTCTTTGAACAGATCGAGCATTGAAAACCAATTGATATGAAATATACATTGAATATATATTCGATATTTTGAACAGAAAACACATATCGTAAAAAAATATTTTGTGATCTTATGTGTTGTAATAGAGTCGCATGTAGATGCATATATACATTTTGTAGTGAAGGTTTTCACACTTTTATACATTGATAATTATTAAAAATGCAAGCAGAGAAAACTGTGTCTCTCGATTTGTTGTAGACTCCTTTTTGTAGTGGCACTACATAAACGGATAACAATATTTGCATACTCTTTTTTTTTTGTTCACACCGAGAGAAAACGCTGAGCAAACTTCTAAGTTAACTTAAATATTCTAAAACAATTGTCAATTACAATTTATCACCCTATACTGTAGCGAAAATTATATTAATATAAAAAAAGAACTAACATTTTTCTATTATGAGAAATATATCATAAGATTCTATATCACGAACGATTGCTATCCTACAATTTAAGTGCAAGGATATTTAGTTGCATTCTTATGTTGTTGACGTTTATTCTAGCGGGCAGCGTGTGACGCAAACCTACTCAAGTTATTGATTTTAATCGTGAACCAGATTTAAAACTACTGTATGCTCATTGTAAATAATAAAGCGAAAAGTGATTGTCGTATCGTAAATCTTATTTATGTCAATATAAGAGTGCTAGACCTTAAGTGCCTTTATTGTATTAATCAAGATACAACGTTTTTTATATATGAAAAAATACAAGAAATTAAGAAAACGCGCTCACTAATCTAACGAGTTTTACTGCCCAAATAACGCTGGGAATATTTAATGTTACCTTCTTTTATAAATCTTGTAATAATAAATAATATGTTATATTACATATCTTTCTCTCTCTCTCTCTCTCTCTTTCTCCATGTGTCTTATCTATACTATTAGAATTGTATGCAATGCATTCGTTTTCAATAGGCGATAATTTAAAGGAAAAGAAAAAAAATGTTCTTCCATATTTAATTGAATAATACCTGTGATAGAGATACACAGTTATAATGATTCTTTACATATATTAAAATTTCTTTACATATATTTTTCTCTTCAGCAACAGCATTTTTTAATTGCAAAAACTGGGCGAGTGAAAGATAAACTGATGCACCGCTCTCAGAGAAGCATGTGGACTTTATTGTAATTTTCTCTCATCTTCTATACGTTACTGTGTGTGAAGACAATGAACAACTTATTATGTTACATAACGTACCAAATATAACATTAATACACAATGAAAGACTAGATATACTCTTCAATTACGGGTAGATAAACATATAATCGTGTTGTGTGTCTAATATGCAAAATGCCTTTGCCCTCCGATAAATATTTGGTGATTAATTACGCAAATGGAGATACAAATCAATGAGTTTTAGTAATGGTAGCGTATAGAATATACAAATAATATGCACAGAATTTAACAATGTTGAATACACATTTCGTTGAAACAAACCAATGGAACTCATACACATAGATGATGGTACAAAAATTGCATATGTCTATAATAATTACGGAATGTGAAATGTGAAAAGATTCGTAATATAAACAACGTACAACAAACGCGAATACAGTGAAATTGCAGATACAAATTAGGAAATTAGCGTTCGTTGATATGATACAAATATCTACTTAAAGTAGTATTGCGACAATTATGTTGTGACAATTCGCCAAACATGTTGTTGCATATTAAAAGCTACCGTTGTAATCAGTATTCAGATGATTAAACAATAGCTCTATGTCGGATGTTGTCTAACCATCTGACAATATATTTAAACAACCATCATGTTTTGTGCTTACAAAAGATCGTGTGAAAAATTCAGTAAAAATACTTTGGTCGTTTTCTTATATACCAATATTTAACTAGTACACGTACATACACATATACACACACACACACACACATATATATGTGTGTGTGTGTGTGTGTGGTGTGTACGTAATAATATAATAATAATATGCAATCGTTTTTAATTAGCTTTGGACGCCGTCTTAAATTAGTTTTGAAATGTCACGTTAAATTTACAACATAATGTAAGAGAGCAACCGTTGATTATTACATTACATAAATAATATTAATATATGTTATATATACAGGATGTTCTTCTCTTCTTGTTCATGAATGTTTCTTTTTTGTTTCAAGTATACACTTTTGAAATCTGTTGAAATAGAAAACACCCTGTACAATATAAATACTTAATACATGAATATATATGAATGTATGAGTGCATAATATGAATATATATTACTGTATACGAAATAATCTGAAATATTAAATAATTTATACACTAAGATGATGTCAGTATCATTTTCATAATACTGATCAGTGTTACTTTCACTGTTGGTAAAAAATGTCAATTCTTGTAGTATAATACTGAATGGATTTGTCATCAGAGAGAATACGATGAAGATGTATATTCTGACTAATGCTGTGCTGTGCTCATATGTTTAAATATTGATTAAGTGTTCTAGTAATTGTGAAAAATTGCACATCTCCACGTTATTATAGTGATAAGAAGTCGGTGATGTAAATATACTCTTGATATCAGTGGAAATATTAACTGATTATTACACATCAAGAGAGTATTGTATAAATTAAAAATATAATCATGAGATATATCTCGTGTAAGGAGTATTGTAAATCTTTTACATCAATTAATTTTGCAATTTCAAGTATTAGATATTAATTCGATTTTAAATATTAAATATTAATGCTTATAAATGTGTCATTTTATTACATTTTCTATACCGTTTTCGTTTTCAATCATTTAACGATGACGTTTCTCTTCGTGAAATTTATATTAGGTGCTGTTTTTATACTGGTAAATAGCTTCATTATTTTTAACCAATAACAAAAAGATTCATAGATATGATTTCTTTTAACGTGCAGTAAATATTATGCGAAGGCACTGTAAAATCATATCATACTTATGACTTATCATTTACAAACACTTTACATGTCAATTATCATTCATGAGGATATGTCGAATGTTCTATAAAAATGTCAAACCGCACTGCAGTTTCCGAATTATCGGCCAAAAAATTCAGTTTCATTGACCACGAAATGAGGCGCGCGCATAATAAATTATTTTTAAAATTATATATAAATCCATCGATAATCAATTTTAAATTATGAAAAATGATCAGAACATAATGTGCGATACTAAAAAAAAATATACCAACATTCTCGTGCATATTCAACAGTTTCATATCGATGTATCATGAATAACGTCGAAGTCGCCATTATACATTTCGAGAATAGAAATAGATTCGTTACACGAAATACGAAAAAGTGAACACACATTCAGAGTGATTCTCGCGTCACGACTTGTAGTAGAGTTCTTATAAAACAGTTCGGTACACACTGTAATATCATTCACACGTACCGTAATATCTAATGATTGTCCATTACAAAGCTATCGATTTAGAATGGTATAGTAACTCTTAGGACAGTAGTATATACTTAGAACTGACAGTTCACGTGCGACTGTATACGTCGAGCTGCGTCGTTATTCGCACGCCAATTTACTGTCGAAACTACTTAGAGCGATGGCAAACGCCTGGACCGTACAAAGAGGAAATCTGTAGTCCATCGTGAAAACGTCCTCTGCGACACGTCCGAACTGCATCACAACGTAATCCACTGAAAATATTAAATTCCAAACGTTAACAACAATATTACCACAGTATGTAATTTAATGTATGTGTGACGCTAAGTACATTTTATGTTGTGTAGTTATACATTAGATCAAACTGAAAAAAAAAACAAAAAAGCCTTTTATCAAATAACCACGTAGATCTTTAGTCTTTTTTTTTAATTAATAACTAAAAATCTAGAAAGAAAATGGTAGAGAACTTTTTTGTTAAATTTGATATAATGTATATGTACACGAGCATTTTATGTAATCGTCAAATACTCTATATAATTAGACGAATAAACAAAAGATAGATTAGAAATTGTTTTACTCAAGTGTTCTCTTCAAAGTACAAAGAATATTGAATCTTGTCTTACCGTCGCTGTCGTGGACGACTTGGAAATTTTTTACAGATGCCTGAGTCACTCGCCCGTGGAAATTCAATACATAAGATTGCGTGTCGTCATTCCATACGGGAGTTTTATTGTGTAACTCTATCAAATTGTCCATATGTTTCAATTTCCAACGTTCTTGAAATAAGAAATTCATTGCACAACATTACATATATGTAATTTTTTTGTTATCACATAATGTTATGTGTTAACATGTTAGCACATTGTTATTTAAATTGTTTAATACAGATCGTCATCTGCATTAAATAAACTTACAGCACTATTTTTGTTTTTTTTTACATATAAATTCATAATTACCAATTAAGGTGTCCGATTCTTCCCGCGGACATATCTCCACTCGCTTCTGGTCGGGTGTCATACCCGGTATAATGACGGTCATCTTGCGCGGTCCTTTAAAACCTAGAACGTTCGTGTCGTATACCACCGCAGCCAATTCCTGTCGCGGACTGAAACGTTCGTCGCGCTTGTCGTCCTTCATCAACGAGTAGCCGTTATCGAACACCGTGAATTGCGTCCCCAGTAGATTCGATCGTAGCTTACCGACGTAGGACTCTCCGCCTCTCGAGAGATCCGTTGGATCGGTCGATATTAAATAATTGCTCGTTGCACTTTTTTTTCGTTTCCGACCGGCCAATAAGAAGATCTGTAATGTACAATCGGTGTATATCTGCAATGTACGATAGAGGACCGACTGAGAGGGCAGAACAAGCGCATGCAAACGTACCTTCTTCCCGTAGTCACGCTCCAAGTGCAAAAAGTAAGTTGGGTAAAGGCCGCGGTCCATTCCTTTCCTGTCGCGCGTTATTCGACACTTGTAATGCATTTTCTTATTCGCCGGTTGTAATACGAATTGCTCAATGTTTCCCTCCACATTTCCTTCTAACTCTGGACTCTGTGAGTGTAAAACGTCAAGCAATTATTACTCTTATACGCATATACTTGATATACTTGATACTTGTATATCATAATTGAAAATTATACGATATACCGAAGAATTATTGTCTCTACTAATGAGAGTATTGGATCCCTCTGATGGTGCTACTCGAAGTGGTGAAGAACATGGCAGAGTTTCTGAAGGCGAATGTAAATCTACAGGTGATGATTCCTCATCAGCGCAATCAGCACTTTGCGAACTTTCGTATAAACTTCTCTCATTAGCTATTGCTATCAAAAAAATATTAATGATTAATAATTATTACAAATAAAATGTCTAGATATTTCTGTATAATTTTTAATTCTTATAATTATAATTTTTGTATTTTGATTGTGCTCGTATTTTGAAGATACTCGTAGTTTTTTGCAAATATAGATAAATAAGAGTTGATTTTTTTTCATCAATGTGAATCAAAGTGAATTTAAATTTTTCATATAATGTAAATTTACCATTAATTGTCCCTTCACTATTTTTACGTTCTGCATAAGGTCCTATGTCTGTACTTGTTTGTGTCATAGTATACTGAAGTGGACCATCATAAGCTGCAAATATATTAATGATACTTTAGTACAGAGCTCGAAATTGTTTGCCCATTTCGGTCGATTCGGGAGCTACGCCTTCTATTTTCCTCTTGCCGCGCGCGGCGGATCACGGATCTGATGGTCGCGGCTCCAAAAGGTCAGAACCATTGGGATTATAAAGGGCGCATCTATATAGTGCCAACCAAAGATGCGTTCGGGAAGCGCGCTGATCAGCGCTAACGCGACACTCAACGGCTCTGAGGCTGAAAGCAGCGATCGTCAGTTGCGTGACTCGCCGCGCGGCAAGGGAAAGATAGAAGATGTAGCTCTCGAGAATCGGCCGATACGGGCAAACAATTCCGAGCTCTGTTTTAGTAGGTATATTTGATATAAATAACATTCACATTCATAATAGTTTTACAATATGTATACAATATAGATAAATATATATTTTATTCATGATACCATGAAGTTCCTTGTTTGGATTCATCCATCTAGTAGAATGGCTTGTAAGCTGTGCGCTGGACACATTAGATGCCTGTACCATTCCACTGGCACCAGTTTGTCTCTTTTGCTTCATCTTCTGTGCAATTAGTTGCCTCTACGATTAACAGACAATATCAGTGAATTGGTGTATATTAATAAGCAAATAACATAATATAGACTACTAATAATGGAGATGAAGTGCCATGAACAGGAAAAAAATTCAAACAAAACCTACTGTGCTACCCATTACTACCTACTATTACTTGAAGGTTAAGCGTTTATTAATTATTCATCGAGCGTTGAAAGTATAGCTTAGATTTCAAAGCTTCCAGTTGCTCAAATACACAACAATGCGTCACAAATAACCGGATTTTCCTTAAATATTTGACACACCGAGTCTCTTCGCTAAGTATATGTGACATGTTTCAAGTTAAATGGGTCGCTGTACCGTACAAGAAGCAAGGTTACACGTTCATGGAAGAGTTCGCGTGTTCGCGGATAAAAGTCGCAATTTATTTATTATGCTCAAATCATATACCTGCTGCTCCAGCTTCTGCTGTCTCAAATCGAGCGACGTCATCTTTCCCGGTTCGTATGAAAATTCGCTGTCAAACAACGTCGGGAACGTGCGTGACAAACCAGTTTTGTTTACGTCAAACACATTTGTTCGCTTGCGGTACCTAGGCAACCGTCAAACCTCGAACCGATAGCTTCTTGGCATTCATGGTGGGTTCGCAAACAGAAAGGTTAGGTTAGGTTACATTTATGTTACGAGAATACCATAGATATAATGACCTAAGTATTTACGATAATATAATGATAACGATGGCTGCGTTCCGAAATTTATTGCCAGTACTGAAATTCTATAATATACGTAACATGAACTATTGTACATTTTCAGTACTGGCAGTGCATTTCGGAATGTAGCCGATAATGATAGCAAAAATATATAAAAAATAGCAATAATGAAATGGCTGAAGAGAAGTATCTTATAACTTAATATCTCTAATTTTCATAAGATTTTCTGAATATAGAGTTTACTCACTTCTTACGATATTATAATACATGATATAATTTGTCAAAAGAGAATAATAATGTCATGGCCGCGACATAAATAAAAACGAAAGATTCCAAGCTTTAAAGTGTTTTTCGAACCATCTTGTTATTGTTATTTTTATCAAAGCTATAGCTTGTTGAATTTTGTTTGTCATGATACAGATGCCTCTGACTAATCCGGCTTTTAATCTAACCCAAGATTCAACCTTTTTCTGACTAGCCGTTGAGTTATACTACGAAATAAATTAACTTAAGGTGCGTTCAGGAAGCTCGCTATTAGCGCTATTTAGCGCTACCGTGTCAATGGCTGCGTTTAGCAGAGAAAACTGCTTTGCAACTGTTGTAAAATTCGTGAATCTGATTGGTATATGTTCTTGAATTTAACCAAAATTAAAAGCATACTCCAATCAGATTCACGAATTTTGCAACTGTTGTAAAATTCGTGAATCTGATTGGAGTATGCTTTTAATTTTGGTTAAATTCAAGAACATATACCAATCAGATTCACGAATTTTACAACAATTGCAAAGCAGCTTTCTCTACTGAACGCAGCCATTCTATCCTTGTTGTATATCTAAGAAAAGATAAAGATAGAAGAACGCGGTAGCGTTGGTAGCGTACTCCCCGAACGCACCTTTAAGGCTGGTTTATGATGGCCGTAATCCGTTAACTTATACCAGAACCGTAAAAAATTGACCAATCATAGTCGATTATTCTTCTATAATTCGACTATGATTGGTCAATTTTTTACGGTTCCGGCATAAGTTAACGGATTACGGCCATCATAAACCGGCTTTTAATCTAACCCAAGATTCAACCTTTTTCATCTGACATTCATTATGATCCAATCATGGACGTAAGAATACATGGACGGAGCGAAAGGTACGATTATAGACGAGGGGCTGTGAAACCCAAGGGGTAAGCGTCCATCGTCGCGGCCATGTTGGTATCAGAATTTTGTATCTATTGCTGTGTATAAAAACAGCAACCGTCGCCATTATGGTGTGTCAACTTCATTACATATAATCATTCCCCTCACCCCTTGGGTGTCACCCCCGCAACAATTCGCCCGTTCATGCATTCTTACGTCCATGATTTTCTCTTTATGCTCTTTCCTAGTATTCTTTATTCTATGGCTGCGAATTCACAAGATTTTCTTCTCGACAGAAAACCTTCTACGCATGCGTAGAGTGACGTGCAATCTGCTATTGGATATCGTATCGCCTGCGCAGAAGGCTTCTTGCAGATAAAATCTCACGACTCGCAGCACTAGATCTCTAGTCTCGACTGAGCTCAACACTAATCGTCGTTAAGTCCTATCGTGTGTACGAGTACTGAGTTTCGTAAGTAAAGTTCGGCCTAACCGCCGTTATGTTAAAACGTAAACGTAATGTTCACGTTACGAACACGTTCGGACCTGATTTTTTTGGAATTCGTACTTCGGTACCTTGGATGAAAAGACAATAAATATAAGTTTAAGGGCCGGTTTTTCTAACCTCTTGCTAAGCTAACGATTAACTCATACGTCTGTCTTTGTTTCTCCTTCAAATTAGGTAGAAACAAACAAGATTTAACTAATAGTAAAATATTAATGGCACATAAGGAGCTGGCACGGATGTCTTAGTGCTATTAAATACTAATATAACTTTAATATTAATATGATTGTGGGAGGATCCTCCGTTAATTAAGCATCCCCATGCCAGCTCCTTATGTGCCATTAATATTTCACTATTAGTTAACTCTATCAAGGAGCGTTCTATTATTTTGGTTTATTTATAAGATTCAACTGTTAGTTAGCTTAACAAGAGGTTGGATAAACCGATCCTAAGTATAAGTAAAATAATAATAATAATAAAAAGAAGAGTTTCGTAGATTATTAAAATATATTCACAGTTAAGTATGGATGACGAAGATGAGACCTACAAACTGTGGCGCATTCGCAAAACAATAATGCAATTGTGCCATGATCGGGGATATCTCGTCACGCAAGACGAATTAGACCAAACCATAGAACAATTTAAAGAACATTACGGAGACAAACCCAGCGAGAAAAGACCAGCTAGAAGCGAACTTATTGTTCTCGTTGCGCACAATGACGATCCCACAGATCAGTTATTCGTCTTCTTCCCCGATGAACCAAAAATTGGTATTAAAACCATCAAGACTTATTGTCAGCGTATGCAAGAAGAGAAGATCCATAGGTTGGTTTTGTACACAACAGTATTATATCATTATATCTATTATAATTATTTTGTAACATCTTGTTATATATTAGATTTGGTTTCTGGGTTTCAGCCGCGTGGATTCTTCTTTGATTCCAACGTTCCTCCTTGATGAAGCGGACTGAAATGTTCGCGAAACATCGGAATTAGACAAAGAAAAATCCACGCGACTCAAACCTGGAAACCAAATCTAATATTTATGGACACCACAAAAGCCTGAAATATCAAATCTTGTTATATACTTTGATTATAATCATATATGTAAGACTATATACAGCGCAATGTTATATATAGTAGATATTAACATTGTCTCCTACTAAGATTTACGATTGAATATAATACTTCATTGATATAATTAACTCTCTGCTGACAACGTGAAGTTGTGGAACATATCCAGCAATGTGTGTTTAGGGTTGGATCTGACCCCAATGTTGTCCCAGCAGAGAGTTAACATTCTTGTTAATTATATCATGGATTTATATCCTTAGATATTCAATCAGTCATAGATAATTATAAATTGTCAATTAGCATTACTCAACTCAGTCTCAACATCTATGAAAATATAAAACATTATTCATGATTTATTACAGAGCAATCATTGTAGTTCAACAAGGTATGACCCCATCGGCTAAGCAATCACTAACAGACATGGCACCAAAATATATATTAGAGCAGTTCTTAGAATCAGAGCTACTGATCAACATCACTGAGCATGAGCTGGTACCTGAACACATTGTCCTGACCCCAGATGAAAAAGAAGAATTATTAACTAGGTACAAATTGAAGGAAAATCAGCTTATGCGAATACAAGCCGGTGATCCAGTAGCGCGATATTTTGGACTAAAAAGAGGGCAAGTGGTAAAGATCATCAGGCCATCGGAAACTGCTGGTAGATACATATCTTACAGACTAGTCTGTTAATAAGAAAATAAAGAAAAATTATATTAAAAACAGATGACATTTTGTATATATGATGACTTTTTGTACATATTGAGAGAAAATAAAAATGAAAGACGCTCTAATTCGAAATTGTTGCCATTTATTGTACCAGCATGTTTTATATAGCAATAATCGTCGCAGTCAATGTTGTACCATTGTTCTATATAGTAGAATTGCATTTTACGATGATATTTCTACATTAGAAACCATCTGGCACCAGATATTAAATGTTGCATGATCAGCAGTTTTGTGAATAATGATTCTCGTTTCGGCACGCCTTGTATATTGATTACTTCTCCTGATAATTGTACCTTAAATGCACTTGTACGGCGTATACACACATGTATATACGTATCTCGTTCGCGTATCTTGACTCGTGTATTTGCAGTCGATTAATATGTAACTTAAGACTACGGAAACGACAATCGTATAAAAGATCGCGACTCGCGATCATCTGTTTTGGGCGAAAACATTCATTTCATTATTCTTTATTATTATCATTATTAGTATCATTATTACTAATATTACTATATATTGCTTGGTCCAAAAGTATCGTGTGCTATACAGTGTTCTCAAGGTATATTAGTAGCAGGACTTTCTTCTCGAAGCAATTAATTTGGTTAATTCACTAATTATTAATTGTTCGTTAAATCTCAAAAGAATTCCACTGATAATGGATACACGTATCTTTCAATAATTTCGTTTGATTTTGGGATACGTTTTCAAATTACGATGTAGTCTTTCTTCTCTTTTACCCGTTTTTTTGTTTTCTTTTTTTTAATACTGTTTAATTTGCACGCGAGAGGAAATTTAATCGAAGGCATAATTAGACAACAGCAGTCTATCAACGTGATTAAATGAGCAACAGTCGCAAAACTCAAGTCCTTTGACTCCTCAAAGGTACAAGCAATTCTTACATTCATAGATACTTAGATCATTAAAATACTTAAACATTCTCGAGAGAGAGATAGAAGAGGAGAAAGTTTCTCTCTCGAGAGAGTCCCAATCCTACTACACAATTAGATATCCGAATCTAATATTTTATCATACTGTTTCGATCCTAATGTATATAGGGAAAAAACGTCGAGAATCGTTAGCAAGCCGGCGAAACGACAATATTGATCGTAAGACGCGTTCTCTCTACATCGAAATAGGACTTTCCGCGTCATCGCGTTTATCGCGGTCGGTTGATAAAGCTAAAAGCGTACATTAGCAGGAAGTTTCTCGAACACGACTATCGGCAACGTGTGCAAATGAGCGACGGGCCAACCGGTATCGCTCATTATTCGACAAGATAAAACTGTTGTCGCTGCTAGTAGAGTGCGTTATCCTGCGACGTTATCTAGAGGAGTTATCGTCGTTGGGCGCAAGTAAACAAAGCACACGAAACGGCTATATATAATTAATATAATATATTGTTATTAATAAAATGTAACATAACGCATTAATAGTCATAATAATAACCATAAAAGATAATAATATTAATAATTACACAATAATAGGCTATGAAGAACGTTTCGTGATTTACGCAGTAAGTAAAGGAAAAGTTCGTCGAAAAGAATTATTAAAAAAAAAGGGAGAGACAAGAAAACAAAAGATGAAATAATATACATTCGGTTATCCTCAAACGCGATTCCGAAGTTTGATTCGAGGATCGCGCGAGACCCTTAGATCCCTGTGGGTATCTGTAAACTCTTAGATAACTCTAGATAAAGGATCATTATAGATCGTTAAAGTTCTATAAATGCTTGAATCCTTAGATCCTTTAGGCATCTTTTAGGCATCCTTAGATCCCATAGACATTCGCGACATTCATAGATCCTTGGACCCTTGCGGATAGCATTAAGAGATCCTAGGATCCTCGAACATCGCCAGACATCTCTAGATCACATAGACGTCCTTAATATCCCAAGGTGTCATTATATCTTCATTAATTGTTCTCAGATGTTTCGATGTGATGTCGATGACGGTGTTGAGATTTTCACCTTCTTTTCCTTTCTTTGTTTAAATAAACGCGACATTCATCCTTCTTAATATCGGAGGATTTTGGTCTTGGAATATGAACAATTCGCACGTTTACTCGATTGTTTACTTGTAGAAGACTTTTCGGCGAGACCACCAGTATACTCTGGTGGCCCATTCGATGGGTGAGGTTTGTAAAATATTGTTTATGAAATCCGCGGCGACTCGTATCTTATAGATGATAGTAGTAGGATAAACCGGCCGTTGTTCCCAACAACTACCTCTGCCCTTTGAGGCCTGAAACATTATATTAATAATTAAATTAAAGCATGATATACAAGAATGATTAAATTCAAAAGGATGTTAAAATGTAGAGCAAGAAAATGAAAATAATTTAATACATAGAATAATTATCAGATGCATTAAAGTGTGTGTCTTTACCTAGGAGTGATATGGCGTCACATAGGTAGATGGGAACAGCCCTCGTCTATTTCCGATTTCTCCATTCCACCAATGCTGATCTGAGCGATCTGTGACAGTGATAACGTCTCCTCGTCGAAACTCTAACTCGCCGGCTTCTTGCGGTGTGAAATCGTACAGTGCTTGTACCAGACACTAAAAGTCACAAAACATTATTTTCTATCAATAATAAATATATAAAATGTTAGTAAAAAATATAATAATTAAGAATATTATTTTCTTTGATATATTTAAATATTTTCTTTTTTGCATAAATTAATATAGTTAAAGAGTATAAAAAGCTAATTTTTTTTGTAATCAATTCTTACCTCTTCTGGAACCATGTCACGCAACTTAACGTCCTGTGAGCGAGAAACAGATGCTGAGCGGTGGTACTCCACCAGTTCATTGAGACTGTTGAATTTAACAACCCATAGGAAGAACTTGCCTTGTGCGTCTCTTAATACTTTAAAATGTTGCACACCATCGGAACACCTGTCGATTTAATCAAACGATTTTAATTCTTACTCTTTTCTAACTATCATTAATATTAATGACTAACTATTGCAAACTGTCCTAATTACATGAATATTTAGTTTTGAGATGAAAATTTTTGGAGTTATTGTTTATACTATTAAAATACTCACTTTACAGATAAGGAGAAATCACCAGGAGAGCTTTCACTAATTCTGATCAGAAAGGCGCCTTCATGCTTGTTCAACAACAATCTTTCAGCATCAGCTCTAGTTATCCTTCCATAGTACCAACTGTAATGAGCAAGAAACAAAATATTTTTGTACAAGGAACTTGCATATGTATGAAAGTATATTTTATTTAAAGAAATTTAGAGAGTATAATCTTTTTACACACACACACACACACACCCACACACACACACACCAGAGGTATTACATTTGTTATCAGATTACAACATGTTCTTATATTAGCATATAATATATATGTATTCGTATTCAAATATTAGCATATAATATATACGTACTCGTGACTTTTCATCTCAATGTAATTACTTGGTATAAGTCCTTCTTTCGAGTCTAGTTCAGCTTTATACCAGTTCATGTCATCTTCCATATTCAAGATCTGAAACATTACACATTGTACATATATAGAGAGTAAAATAGAGAATGTAAATTTATAAAAACACATCATTATAAGTTAATAGTATCCTTGTTCTTTCTAAGCTTGAATGACTCAGTGGATCTTTGGATTGTAATAAAACATCCATTTGTTTAAGCTATGACCAGATATACTTAAGTATCTAAAGATATGCAAATATCCTCAATATGATTTCATTGGAAAATGTACATATCGCTTCCATCTTCTCATTCAATTTCTTAAAAACAAACTAATTACACTTCTAGACTTTATTTTTTCCACTTTCTATTTCCAAGGTCTACGAACATGCTAATCATGTTCATCTTAAATAACAGAAAGTGTATTTGAAATGCGAACAATGCAAGTGTAACCAAAAGCAACACAGATCCGACTGTAGCGTTTATTTCACAGTTTCGTTTCACGCGATAAATATACATAAACACGCATCTCGCACGTTCGTGTCAGATGCAACAGCTAGCTCTCTGCCAGCGAAAACCGATCGGCAGTAGCGTGTAGACGCATCTATTTACACGATACAATTGAGCTTCGCGACAAGTGCATCGTTCGCTGCGTGGCGTCTAGCCGCGACCAGCGGACGGACGATAGAAGTTTCGAGATCGGTCGAGATCCCGTGACCGCGGGGCGACGCGACGCGATGCGACGCGCTTCGCCGTTGGAGTCGGCTGTGCGAGTCATCCAGCTAGCTCCCTGAGCATCAGGTGACTCCCTGTGATCTACCAACCTTCAGGATCTGACATCTGCGGAAGCTGAGCTCGTCCTCGGCAGTCGCCGTGAAGTCGTGCTTCGCTATCGCCTCCATTCTTCTCCGACACGTCCAAGACGTCGGGGAAAGAGATAGACGAGTAGCCGCTGCTGGAGGTGGGAGTGAGAGGGCGCTCGCTATACGTTCCGCACGAGACGGAGCACCGTCCCGGTACGAACGAGACAACGGTAGATAGGTAGGTAGGTAGGTAGGTAGGTGAGGAAGGTACAGCAGTTTTGAAGGAAGTGAAGAAGGGGAGGAGGATAGAGGAAAAGAAAGAGAGAGACGGAGGATACACTCGCTGTGCCGTACGCACGCGAAGCAACGGGTATCGGTCTTATGAGCAGAGTATCGAGGTGCTGTGTGAAACACACGTTATAGAAAGAGAAAGAACGATACAAAAGCGTCTTGTTAGAGGGAACGAGAGAGCGACGCGAAACTTGTTAGAGGGAGCGGGAGGGCCACAGCACAAAGCACAGGAAGGGGAGCGACACTATACGTAGTGTATATGAGATGCACAACGCGCTATATTAAGTGCGTGTAAGAAAGAACGAGAGGAGATGGAGAAAGAGAGAGCGGGAACAAGAGACAATGTTGTTCTCTCGAGTCACGGTAACGCACGAAAGTCGAGAAACGTGCTGCTGTATCGAGTCCTCCCCGCGACGGCACTCTTGGTCTTTTGTCCTGACGCCGAGCGGGTGGTGTCGGCCGAAGGACGACACAGGATATTGTACTCGCGCGTCTACGTGTGTGTAGTATACGTGTGTACAGGATACGGATCCTGGACACGTAAGAGGGTACCGATGCACGCACGCATACACCACGCACAGCTCTTGACGGATCTTTCGATGCGCCAGCTGCGGTTACAATCTCAACATCGTATTTTTCCTTTCCACTGCGATCACACGCGAAATGAACACGGCGAGCTGTCAAAGGCGATCGTACACAGCCTTACACAAGTCCATCACTGCTTATCAGACATTACACTTGCCGTTCGGATCGGCTCGGTCTTACTCGCCATTGCTCGTGCCACCATTCGCCACCTGCGTGAAGGACCATCGCGCACTGCATGACGTCATGCTACGTCGATCGCCATGACTGAAGTGTGCAAGGTGTAGCAGTTCGAAAACGCGATAACGCTTAGGAACGAAGTAATCACACGTTGTGGCCGTTTTATTCTTGCTTTTCTGGAGACGTCTTCATTTCTTTGCACATGTGCGCATTTATCTCTAATATACGTGACGTAAACAAGTAAGTAATGACCTGGAAGAAAAAAGCATTACATATTGAGTGTCTGACATCGGACGCGGAGTAGATTCTACTGCGTGCAGAAACGATCGTACTTGCCAGCTAACCAACGACTAGAATATTGAGACCAGAATTTTTCGTTATCAGTAATTTATTAGCAGGAAAATCAGAGTGCATTTTGCCCTGCGGGACATTCAGTTGCAAAGAAGCATTCCTGTAACGTTTTATCGACGTTTGAAATTACCGCGGTCGTTCGTCGGTAACGGGACTACGGCGCTACGCGACGTGCGCGCGACGGGTAGCGCCTCTCGCGGCAGCGCCGCGGACCAACGTTGCGGTTGGCGCGCGCGCGAGGCGCTCGTGACGCAGAGCGACGTCAGACGATCAGCTGTACGCGTCGCGGCTACGTTTGTCGCGCGCGAGTGAGGTGTGTTTGTGTGCGCCGCAACAGCCCGTATTGTTGTTTGTCATCGCGCGTGAGTCTCCGGAATCCGCGGTATCGTCGCGTCGCGCGGCACGCATCGCAGTGAGAACATTACGCTCACGACGACCGTCGTCGCGGGCGCGGGGCCGATTGCACGGCGCGGACGGGCGGGGACGAATCGGCCGCTGCGGTGTATTTCGACGGGCAGCGGGGCATGACGGGAACAGGTGACAATCGAGCCGCGCCATGTTAGATTTCACGGGATCGCGAAACGCGCGCCGCTGCCGCCGCCGCTGCTGCTGCCGCCGCCGCCGCTGCCGCCGCTGCTGCTGCTGCTGCTGTTGCTGCCGCCGCTGCTGCTGCTGCTACTACTACCGCTAACTACTACCGTGGTGGCCAGTACCGTGTGGAAAGAGAAAGGGAAGGAGGAGATTTACACTTTGTTTTCTCGGCTCTCGCGCGCGCAGCTTTCCTCTCCTCTCACGACGGTGATCCATCCGAAAATCATCCAAGCTGGATAGGTTACCCGAGTATCTCCGCGATACCGTGGACTGGTTTATGGGGTAAGTCCTGATCTTTCACTGTTACACCAAGTGAATTGCGGCGGCTCGTACGACTACACCTGGTGATCCGCGCGTGCTGTCCAACGCTCTCGCGATATCGCGAGCCCCGTGTCCGAGCTGATCTCTCCGGCGTTGGAGAGGTTAACTTCCAACGCATCAACCTATGTTCTTGCGGCCGAGCGAGCGAGCGAGCGAGCGAGCGAGCGCGTTCTCGTCCTCGTCCTCGTCCTCGTCTTCGTCCTGCTCGCTCACTCGCTCACCCGCGCGCGCCGTAGCTCGCCTTTTCACCGTGGAGAAAGTAACTAAGAGAGAGAGAGAGAAAGAGGGAGAAAGAGAGAAAGAGAGACTCGCTGTCGACCATCTCCGCCGGATTCTCAGAGCACCGCGAACGTCTTCGTCATCGTCGGTCGCGGAGTGACGCGTGCACCAACACAGCGTTGAAAAACCCACACGTACAGGCGCTACGTTTACCTGTAGACTCACCGGTCGGTCTAAAGTCAATCTTTTCTCAACGAACATTCGATCGGGCATTACCTTGCTGTGCGCCGGAATTTTCCATGCCAATTTCACGCTCGAATTTTTGACGACTTGGCGATCAGATTTTCATGTCATTGACGTGAAAGGATAACGCGTTCGATGTTGGTTCGCAAGTTGTTTATTTTCAGTCGAAGGTCTTCCCGGATTTCGTTTATAAGAAGAAAATTTCTTCTCACGTTTTTCTCAACAGCGACGCTTGTGTGTGTATGTGTGTTTTTTCAACGTTCTCTCATGCAGCGTTCAGTGTACCGTTTTTGTTTCTTGTTTATCCGCTCAGCCGCGCGATTGTTGTTCGCCTTTCCACTTTAAGGTCAGGCGCGAGCAGACAGGCGCGATTTAAATAAGTCTGACCAGCGATTGTCTTTTTTCTTCCCCCGTCACACTCGGATGTCTCATCGAAGAAACGATTTAAAAGACGGACTCGCTTCGATGAGCTTTCCTCGGCGAAAGAGAGAGAGAGAGATCTCAACGCCGACAACAATGTCGTCGTCGCCGTTGTCGTTCTATGATATTCAATCTTCGTGCGCGAAGAATCGTCGTTAATTCAGCTTCGGCAATAAGAATGATAATGAAATGTGACTTCCCTTTGGCGCACCTCGTTCAGACGGGATCTTAATTGTAGATTCGATGTAAATTGAAGTGGAGAAAAACTCACGACGCGTGCGAGAAAGAGTGACGCTCGACCCGATTTCTTTTCGCGAGGGGAAAAAAAAGAAATACCCCAAACTCCCCGAGGAATCTGCGGTTGATCGCGTCGTCGTTGTCGCGGCGAACAGTCCATGTGCGACAGTGACACCACCAATCGATTGTTTATTTCGGTTAGGACGCAATAAAGAGGACCCGTGTAATAACGATTTTTCATTAGATTCATTCGGTAATGGGAGAGAGAATTCCCGCGAAGTCGGGAACTTCTATTTTCATACATTGCGCCGCGTATATAGGCTAGCCCAATAAATGAGTCACGCTGACGCGTCGTCGATCGAACGTTTTCCGGTATAACGGTGAGACAACTCGTGGACCCGTTTATAATATGGATAGAGAGAGAGAGAGAGAGAGAGAGAGAGAGAGAGAGAGAGAGAGAGAGAGAGAGAGAGAGAGAGAG